ATTAATAAACTTTTTTATATAAATCCAATAACGTTAATCATCAAATTAATATTCATTATATAAAATAATTAATATGATAACGTCAATAATGAGAGTAATTATAAGTATTATGTTGAAAAGTTTCAAATATCATTTGCATTTGTATTAATTATAAAAATGATGCTATCATAAATATAAAATTATAAACAAGTTCTAGTGGAGATATGTTTTTGTATCATACTTTTCACCGACTTGGAAAAAAAAGTAGCGTAGGCACTGTTACGAAATCTAATTTTTGTAACACATGTTTATATGGAATAAGTTTTGAATAATTTATTTTAAAAAATATCATTTGACAGTAAGATTAATATATTATTCATTGATAAAAAATTATCAATATCAAAGATGGAACGTGATTTTTTAAAGGAATAAAACTCCGTTGTCTTGCCACCCACATGAGAAGAAAGAATCATTTTTCATTATTTTATTTACAATACCACGAATAACATCATTAAAAAATATATTGTCTGACTAATCATATTAGACATCGATAAGAAAGTAAATAACATTTTTCTAAATGACCCAATTATAAAAGCTCTGTACTACTCATCGATTATTATATATCATTCCATACAATATTTTTCTACTTCCAAGATGAAAAATCTGATACTTTTCTTTCATCCTTATTGATGAAGTAACGTCATAAGTCGCAGTAACTAAAAATAACAATGCATTTTCCATGTTGCAATTTTATTTCTACAAGATACTAAGTACATTGTATAAAATTTTTGTATAAATTCAATAGACAGCTCCGCATATTTTCAATATTCAGCACAAGCTGACGTAATTTGAAATAAATGTATCATCGTGGTCTACATTTACCAAGTGTCTCCTTTTCATTAGCATGAGGTTGATAACATTATTGAATAAATAAATATGCGTGTCTACAATATACCATGTGTTGACTCGAACACAAAATCGAAGATCGCAAGTAGTACTATATGTGAATACTTGTAGAATTACACAATGAGTAGGTGTGAAATGATGGTATGAGAGCCTATAGTCTCTGGGTACTGCACAGTGTTGTGTAGTGTTCGATCGGCCTATTTCAATCTCCTAAGACCTTATGGTTGAGAGCTTTATCCATAGAACCAAGAGGATCCTCGTGATTGGTGTGATACTCTCATTGATGAGACTTCCGTTGATGGGCTGCAGGAGATAGACAAGGAAACAAAGGAAGGAAACCAAGAAAGATTCAAAAAGAAGACATACCGAGGAACAGAAGTGAGACCCTTGTCGAGTAGGGGCCAGCGGCATTTCTTTCTGAGTGCAACGGACGTCAATATAATGTTCTCGGAGTCGTTTTGGGTGCGACCGCGTGTCGAGACCCCGTGGCATGCATTCGCGAGTGCGCAGAGTTTACTCGAGTTTTCCCCCATACTGATGCTGGTAGAGACTTTGGTGGGGAAAATGAGTCGTTGTGCGAGCCCAGTCTGGCGGGGGTGTCGGCGAGAATCGCCACAACAGAAGGGGAAACACCGGGCTACGAAGGACACGCGGTCGGCACTGGTGTGGAAGAGGTCGAAAGAGGGAGATAGCTGTGAGCACAAGACAGAGACAATACGACCCATGTGTTCGTCGCCGAAAGCACAGTAGGGGTCGAGACTTTAACGAGACGAAGCGGGGATAAAGGAGAGCCCCGTTTACTGCTATGTACCACGCTCGTCCCTGGCTCTCGATCTGCTTGCTCCCCGCTTCGTCGTGACTCTCACAGCAGTTCGACGCCGGTCGCGCTCTCAGCATGGTTGGATTTGTTAAATATTTGTCTTTTTCACCTGGTTATACGTTTTTAAAATCAACCAACACTTTTCACACAACTTGAACGTCTTATCAAATTACTCACTGTGTTCCTCTAACAGGTAGTTATTGAGTTTTCGGTAATTGCATCTAGCAAATTAACTGTGTGTATCATCATCACGTCAAATACCTCGACTTAACCTCAAAGAGACAAAGAAGACTTTGATTTATATCCTACTGTATCTTCTGCTTTCGAGGAAAAATTTATCGCTCTGTTTGATAATTCTCCTTGGAATTTTCTCAATCAGATTGTCGTAATTGAAAAGATACTGTAGTACTTATTTTACTGCTACTGGTATTATTATGTTTGTTGACATTTTGAAGTGTTGAATGAATAAAAAAAAAAAATCAAACTGCAATTTTTTTTTTCGAATTGTTTGAGTGATTAATTGCGTTTAACAGATACTCGGTGGATTGTTTAGTGCTGTATTTATAGATCATGAATACCCAAAGTGACGTAAAGCTTGTCTGACAATTTACAAACGTCATTTTGACAGGACTAGGACAACACATGGCGCCGAAGGAAATTAAACAAATGGTAAGAGTTTTTATTGTAAAATTCAAATGGTATGGGATTGTTTTTTTTTTTTAAAAGTGTATTTGTGATTTTTTTTCGTAGGAAATAAATAGTAAAAGATTCTTATATTACTTCTCTCCATCGTCTTTATCATGCTTTCTTCAGGGTTTTTAGCAGCGTGAACTTACTGATATACACATTACACTCTTGTCACGTGCTGCGGAAGTGATCTAGCCGAAGGATCTATACATTTCACTAACTATTGTTGCATGTTGTGATTAAAATCGCGTCAAACACGTTCCTTTTTACTCTCTATATAAGGGCAGAGATTAAAATTAACTACATACGAAAAAAAATTTCTACGCCCATTCATTCTTTTTTATTATTTTCATTTCGTTTGTTTTCTCGTTCTATTATGTGATATTGACAAGTAATAATACAATATGAGTGATTCATCATGTACTGCAATTTATAAAATGTCAGTTATACATGATCGTTAATGCATCATCTAGAGATCATAATTGAAAAAACGCTGTTTTTAATATTTGATATCAGAATGTTTCATTTTTATCTTTACCTTGTATGCAAAGTTATTAAATATCTGGAATAGTTTTTCTTTTTTAGTTTAAATAAAGACTTGAATATCATTTAACATGTTTTGTGCTTAATATAAAAATGTAATATTATTGAAGATAAAAATTGTAAATTCATTTTTTTACTCAATGTCGACAAAATGATAACTTTCTATGTAACTTCATTATTTTTAATTTTTTTGTTTTTTATTTTCATATAATTTACATTTACAAATATTCTCAAGAAAAATATAATATTCTTTGTCGTAGAATGTTTTTTCTTTCGTCTCAACAAAAGAATTTCTTTCTTTAACAAAAAAATGATTAAAGGACTCAAGGATTTAAAGACAGAATGAAAAGTTAAATTAAAAGTCGACTTGACACTTTTTAACAAGAAAATTCCAATACTATAGACATTTCATTTTTTCTACTGAAAAGTCTTCCGAGAAGACTACGTAGGTTTCAAATGATCTCCTTTAAGTCCTTTAAAGTAACGTACGTGCTCCTTTAATACACTAGTGTAGAAAAGATCTGGCGAGGACTTATGTGAGGGTCGCAGTAAAAATTTCACATCTAAGGGATGCTTGAGAGTAAGAGAAGGGCTGTGCCTTTGAAGAAAGCTATTGAATCGGCACCGAAAAAGAAAGATCATGATGACGACTAGAGGACCAATAAGGGAAAACCTTATGAAGCTAAGGGTGTTGAAGTGAAAGGGAAATAGAGAAGAGATGAGAAAATGAAAAAAGAAGAAAGTATAAGCCTCTCAAAGCTGTTGTCCGTTCGCAAAGTTTTCGTTAGAGTTTGCTTGATTTACCGCACCATTTCAAAGACTGAAAATCGCTTTCAAGAATGTTCAAATATTCAAACGAAGTTCCTCGGGAGACCGCATGTTCGAAAAAAAACTTTCAGTATACATTAAATTGTCAACTTCATTATGAACATTTTGCTTCTGGAAAATTCTTTAATCAATATTTCATTACTGAGTGTTATCTCCTTTAATATAATCTATTTTTGTAGGTCGTTTTTTTGAACCAAATTACTGATTAATTAAGCATTTTAAACTAAATTATTTATCCTTTGAAAATAAGAGATTTCAATGCTGACCCACTTGCTGTTTCATCTGATGGCAAAACCGACGATAGAAGATTCGTTTTGCGAAATTCCACAGGTGACGTCGTTCGTTCCATGTCGTCGTAGCTAAGCCAAGAATTCGTTTATTCGCTCGTGAAACTTAGTGCTTCGATAATTTATCCCAAGAATTATAAGTTCTTTGCACTCCTAGATACGATTTTTTTTTTTCATTTATACTCCATAAATTTATCAGAGAAATTATTGTCACCCTTTGAAATTTTTTTTTTCTTCCCAAAAAAAAAAAAAAGAAGAATATTTTTTCAACAGAATTTTGACATTAATTTTATAAAATTCATTTTAATTTCTAAAATATATCACTGGACTCTCGTTCTGTATAAATAATAAATTTATTTTGAAATTTGATCAAATGTGTTTGTATTAAAACTTTCGAGCTGATATGAAAATTATTCAAATGTTCTAACATAAAGTGAAATTTATGTGATTTAAAATGTAAATTTTCATTCAGCTTTTAATTTTATATTATTTGTACCATCTCTTCGTGTATACACAATACGTTAATTTTGATAAATGAATATCTGAAGACTGTTATTGAAGAATATTCAAACAAAATCATTTCCTCAAGTTTTATAAACTCATTTTCGCAACAATAATTTTAATTACTTCACTTATATTCCAATCATTTGATTACTCAGATTAGAACTAAAGTTTTGTCAATTTTTGAAAATTTTAAATCTGCTTGTTACAACCGATAGAGATAAATTTTTGAAACCTTTTAAATTTTCCTAGTGTCAATCAAAAGAACTCTTAACAATAATTCACGACGTTATTTATGATGCAAACATATGAATAAATTCGTAGTAGAAAGCGTTATTAAGCTAATATGAAAACGTGCGTAGAATAAACATGTATACGAAGGGATTGAGGGTACAATGTGGGGTTTGTTCGCAGTGTTATCTGGTGTATGAGATAAAGCTAGTCATGGATCGAAGCACGTGCACACCACACCGTGCTAACAATCCATCGGATACACACATGACAATTAAACGTATTCTAATGAATGCATCGACGTACTATGCATTGTTATAAATGATGCAGCCGATATGAATGTAATAATTTACACTATTTGCGCAGTTGTCAGTTGCTAATTCGCAAGCTTCGGAAATCAAAGCTCATAGCATCAATCGCAATAGCTTTTAGATGCTCGTGATGCTCTATAGTGTACGTTCTAGTCGGTCAAGTATAGAATATACATAACGTGGATGTTGATCATGACGACTATGTATTGAAAGAGCCAGTGAGTCACTTTACCACTAATAAGCATAGAGTGAGTGTCAGAGAATTCACTTCCTGGTAATTGAAGAGATCGAAACAGAGAAACAGAAACGTGACAGTAAAATCGACACTGGTGGATGCTGAAGGGAAAGAATGTAGAATGTAGACAGTAAGTAACGTGCATACCTGACGTGCGTCGACTACCTGACCGAGTCCAACGGGATTGGTTGCAGCTAAGACTGATGTTACTGCTGTTGGTTCTAGAATGCATCATTCCAAGAATTTGGGCTTAAGGTGATATGACGTTTGTTCTGTCAGGGATGGATGTGATCTGTAACTCGCCCCCGGACATGACCCATTAACAGAAATTTTCATTAACTTGAGATGTTTGCGGTGTGGGTTACATTCAATTCATGCTGAATTTATGACCGAACAGGTATTTATCGAAAAAGTCACGCCTATGGAAATTAGTATTTTATGGTTGTTAACAAAATTTTGACCTGAATGATAAATAACTTTTTAAAAAGTCATATCGACACCAGTCAAAATAATTAGGCTTAAAGATATTTCAATTCTTTAACCTTCAACCACCATCAGGATTAGCAGAATGACCATAAATTTAATAACCTAATAAAATATTTTATAGAGTAATCTTATTAGAGTTTAGAGAAAAGTTTGCTTATTTTATTCTTATCCATTTTTTTTGTAGACATATCTTTGTTTCACTTTATGATCTATTTTTATTTGTTTTTCCTCATAATATTATTTGCAGTTTATTAATGAATACTGGTTAAAAAACCTGATCTCCTCTAGTTTTGCATAGAATAAAATCTTAAGTAAAACATCATCTCGTAAAAAAAATATGAATCTTAATTACTTAAACTTATTAATGAGTTAGAAGTTAGACGTTACATAATCTGCGTTTTCATAAAATTATAAAAAAGTTTTAAAGATTAGTTTATTCATATGGTTTCACTTGATGTGTTTTCTTAATTAAAACTCATTTATAAACTTTTTTATTCATTATTGAACATCAGAGCGTCTCTTATCTTGTTCATTGACTCATTTTAATGATAATAAATCTTTTGATAGTAGTCGTTTACCATTGAATAGAAAAAATATGTTTCAAATGGAAAAATATGTTACATAAAAACCTTGAAATTATGTTTCAGTATCTGATAATAAATATAACAAACATCAAAGAACAACATAGACAAAATAAAATATGTATGAAGATTTCAAAGCTTGGGAATGTATATTCGGTTAATTAAAAAAATTTTTATACGATAAATTTAGCTCGGAGTATTTATTGACAAAAATGTCTATAGACTTCTGAAAAAAAAAAACAAATGTAAATGAAAGCTGATTATAAAGATCTTAAGTAAATTTATTTAATAGAAAATATTTTTATATGAAAAGTTTCGAGTGAATTAAAAAAAAAAAACGAACAAATTACAGGGAAGAATAGAAAGCTTTGGTTGAAGAGCAAAATTAAGTGGTGAGGCGTGCACGTGTTAAATGAAGTTAAAATTTAGTAGGCAACGAGAAAGTTATTCACATTTACAATTTCCCTATGTTAAGTGTGCAAAAAGACAGCGATAAGACAATAAAATAATCGTTATCTAAAAACTACGAAAATAATCAATCATTATATCTACTGTAATTATTAGATGCTGATAATTTATACAATCCTTGTTTTTTTTTTTATTTTTGATTCAGTTTAGTTAATGATAAAGTTTAAACATTAATCTTATACGAATTTCATCAGCAATAGGAGTTTCCTCGTATCAGCCATATAAGTGCAAAGTAAATAGAGAGTGAGTTGAGGACTTGCTACTACTGTTTGCAATGAACAAAGTATGTATAGATAAAACAACTGCATGAGGTAGTAGAGAGAAGAGCAACAAAGAGAACAAGTCACAGTAAAATGTTCGTAACCAACATATTTTTACTTTTCTGACCGTAAAAAAAGATAAAAAGAAAAAATGATAGAAAAAATGGTCCAGCCCACAAGTTTTTTTCTCTTGCCTATGCAATTGGGTTATACCTATCTATATGATGTCTGTGCATATAACTTTGCTGATATGACTCGATCAACAAAAGTTACGCAAAACCGCCGATCGTAAACAAATGTTATACCATCAAACCGTCCCTCCTTCACCTTTCACTCATCTAACTCTACTTTTTAATATTGAACAGTACTTTTTTTTTTGTATCTTGAATGTATAAAACTTTTTCCAAGTGTAGAAAAACTTAGGTAATATACTAGAGTGCAGGAAATGAAATTTTTCAAAGAGCAAAGTGCACAAACGCAATGTAGTTAATAAATGTAATCAGAAGTCAAGCAGAAAAAGTAAAGCTTATCTTGGTTATTCTTTTACGTTAATATTTTTTATGTTCTAAGCTAGACACTGTTGCAAATCAATCATCAATTATATTATTTTGTGAGGTACTACCATAAAAAATTCCTTGAAATATTTTATAACAAATGTTATTACTTATTCAAAGTTGATCTACTTAAAAGGAAGTTACTTTAATTGACCTAAATATCTTACAATTTTTCAATTATTGCAATCCTTTCAAGAGTTACATTTGTTCATACTTGGTTACTTATTGATCAAACCTATAACTTACTTTGTAAAACAAAAAATAACAACTTTTGGTAATTCCTTTTAATCGCATTATTCCTTTTGTGTACTTGAACAAGTTAGCAGTAGTTGCATAGTTCAAATCTGAACTTTGTTATGTTGACTTCGATCAATGGCAATGAGTGAGGGAGAGAGGCATGAGCGAGTGACCGAGATCGAAAGGTATAATATGCATAGAACGAACGGTTGTCGCGAAATGTGGGCGACTAATGCAAACATGTATTACCAAACGTGCGCTTGACCATAGTAAACAACGAAAACGGAAGCACAAAGGGTCCGTGCTAGTTGGGATACGAAGAGAAAGAGCCATGTTCACAAGTTACTGCCTCTCTGCTAATGCTTTAGCCCGTCATTTGCAAATTGTATGTTGTTTCGTTACTCACGAAACTAGCGTTAGAATCACACGTAATTAAAATCATGACACGTCTGATAATTCTAATTTTGTGTTTGAATGCACTTAGACAAAAGACGTTAAGTTAATAGAACTCATTTCATTGCTCTAGAAGTGTATGTAAACTTGTTAGTTTGAAGTTAGTCGTAGTGATATGACGTTGTTTATAATTTTAATTGAATATTTGATTAGTTTAGAAACCCAAGTGATCATTCGATTTAGGGTGGAAAATTGGAATATTTAGCTCAATTGATAGGAAATTATTCAAACTCATGAAATAGTATATGGATTATAATTGGAAAAAGTTTTAATTAGAAAATTTGTGTTAACAAAAACTAATAACATTTAAATTTTTTATGATTCTATATGTCAATTCAACTATCAATTAAATTTAATTGAACATATACATTTAGAAATAAATGGAAATTTTATTGTTATTTCTTAACTATATTTAACAACATTAAGTTTACACAATGTTATTATCAATTCTGAAAAAAATTTAATTGATTGTGAAGTATTTATCGATGAATACATATAAACGAAAGTATCATGTGTTTGAAAGAATGAATGTTTTATATTCAAAGTTAAAAATTTTTCATCATGCAAATTTTCAATCCATATCTCTCTTTAGATCTACACAAAAGCTATCAGCAGTAAAACTGTCGTATTCTTAAAATATTTAATCCATATTTATTTTTATTTTCTTATATACAGATAAATTGAGAAAAATAAAAATGCAATGAAGAAATTTTATTTATTCATTTCTTCATAAAAATGTACAATCGAAATTTCTTTCCAACTATTATTAGACAATATCTTTTTATATTTTTTCAATGAATCTTGATAGAAAATTTCCTTCTATCATTCTTGTTTTCAATATATCAATTTATCTAAAAATAGAATGTCAACTGTAAAGAAACTATTGACGAGTTTCATTATCTCTGAAAAAAACAATAAATTTAAATGTACTTTTTGTTTTTATTTTTCATGGATTTTTAATGTTTAAATAATTATTTGAAACGTAAAAATAGAGTCATAATCATCGTATCAACGATTATATATCAGAGACCAGTACTTCTATTTTCATATTGAACACATTATCATCTAGTGGGCGTGACTTAAGAGTATGTTTTCCATGACATTTAAGAGTTATGCATATACTCTGAGAGCTAAAAAACAGGAAATGTGTTTTTTAATAATCACAATGTAAAAATCATAATGTATATTATATAATAGACAAAACACCTTTCCTGAGATACATAAAATTCCAAAATTTACGCTAAAATTCAACATGGAAAATTAAATATTAAATGTAAATTTTTTTACTTCATTAATTAACGGGAATGTTGAATAAGTATTCTCATGATATAAAGTGAAAAGTATAATATTTGCCCAGTAAGAGGAAGTAATGTAATTATTATTATTATTATTATTTAAAGGTTGAATTCTTTTCTTTTCTGGTTCCTCGAGCTCACTTTATCCGGAATAATCATTTTCGAGGGTGAACACGAGAAGAGACTGTTCACGCGAATTAAATTGTAGCCACACGATCCACCACACGTTTAAAACCACTTTACCACGTCGATGCTATAGCATCTATAGAGTTACCCTTACTGACCGTATATGGTTAAGTTACCGGAAATGCGATGCTACAATTCGATACACGGTATATCAGAGACATGTTATGAAGTAATAAATATTAAAATTTAAATAAATTTAATATTAATGCATAAAATGCCATTTAATATGGCATACAGGATGATTCAATCTTTTGCATATTAAGTGAAAATTTGATATAATATCTGTGGATTGTAAATTGAATAGAGTCATTGAGAAGTAATTTCTGTAAACCTATTTCAGAAAGTAATTATAACTAGTTTGAAATGCAAAATTAATACAGAATGTTAAAATATACATATAGTTTATTCCCGATAGCGTTGCAAAACATTTCCCCTAGAGTATAATGAATTATTTCGTGTTCATTGGCTTTAATCAACACAAAATATTAAGAGTACAACAAAAATTCTCTTCAATTACTTCAAACTCGCCTACGTCTATAATAAGACTATGACATGTTTACGTACTAACGTATAATGCACATGTTACTAAACTGCAGTTTAACCCCGTTTAATATCATTTACAACTATGACCACGAGCATAAATGAGCGATGGGTATACACAAAAAATAGCTCCTCGTTAGTGTAAAATATTTTACTGCTTTCAAGCTAAAGCAGGATTTTGTTTATCAGGGATAGACTTGGTGATAAAATGAAAAAAATGTTTAAGTATTTCTTGAGTTTGCATGAAAGATTTTAAATAAATTAAAATGTCAAGAAAAAATGTCACTGTGATGAAAATATTTTTTTTAGTCAGACATTTTTTACATATATGAATCAA